TGAATATGAACTTGGCAAATCAGTATAAAAAGGCTCCTGAGATTTCTCATTCGTGGGGTGCAAATATTACTAGTGCATTGTACAACATTGGAAATCCAAAGCCTTCAGTATGGTTTTGGAAAATCAAGATTATATAGAAGTTGTATTCACTAGGACAGTGTGGGAACCAGGTTTCAAGTACTGAGGCTATTAATTTTACATTTCTTTTTTTCTTAGTTACAAAACAAAACGAGAGTACAGTGTATTTTGATACTGGGTTCGTAAATAGTTTGCTTCAATATACAGTACAGTACAATACTTCACTTGCTCCTTAATAGTTTGTAAACATGTCATGTATTCCATATTTTGTTTGCTGTATATTAAATTTACTTGATATTGAATTAGGTTACCAATTTTTTCCCATATAATTTATTGATTACTGGAATAAATTTTTGCATTTTGCATGTATGCTTAAAAAAGTATCATTTTACGAACATTTATTTTCATGGCCTCTTTGACTACATGATACTGGATTTTCTTGTAAGAAAAATGTCACCACAAGCCAATTTTGAAAATAGAGTAGCTAAAACTAAATTCTTCCCTGTAAGTTGAAGCCTTTTTTTTTTTTTTTCCCCAAACTGCCTTCATGATTTTTCCTATATAGTACAGTATTTTACTGCTTTTTTATCTTTAATAGGGTAAAGATGATATCAATTTGTAAAATGTTTTATAGTTACCACATGTAATTTTTTTTTTTCAGGACGACAGGCGACTCCCTGTACGAGACATTAGGGATACAAAAAGATGCAACTACAGAGCAAATCAAGAAGACCTATCGGAAGTTGGCACTCAAATATCACCCGGACAAAAATCCAGATAATCCTGAAGCTGCAGAAAAAGTAAGAACAGTTGAATTGATGGGTGAAGATAGTTATATAATGAGCAAGAATCTTCACAAAAAGACAGTTTTTATTTTGCACATTAATCCTTATATTAACAGGGTTCCTGCAACATGCTCTTCCCATAGTTTTGCACTGGTTGTTAACTCAAGACAGAATCTGAGTGGAGACTTATATTGGAGATGACAAAAGGCTAAAAGAAACATTGTGGTACATTATTATCCAGTACAGTACAATGGGGCCTCGACTTAGGATGCTAATTCGTTCCCAGAGATGGATCGTAAGTCGAAGAGATTTTTCCTATAAGAAATAAAGGGATTTGAATTAATCCGTTGCCCACCCTCCAAAATATTAACATACAAATACATTTTATACTGAATACAATTTTTTTTTCTAACTACAATACAGTACCTACATTTATCTTACCTTTATGGAGGACTCTTGATGGCATATGGAAGATGGTGATGAGGGGGGGAGGAGGAGAGTTGTTACTGTTTGGAAGGGGATTCCCTTTCTATTATCACATCAGGCAGTGATGTTTTCTCTGGGGTACTCTCTCTCCTACGTTTTACCTGAATACCACTAGGACCTTGGTTGTGGTTCAGTGCTTGTTTCTCACTACAAATTTGTCAAGAGACATTTGTTTTTCCCCTTCGTTTTAACATTTGTCTGTAATGATGCATTACTTTAGCACCCATAATATCCTTTTTCTTAGCCAGTATGGTGGATATCATTGACTGAGATTTGTTGTACTGCCTAGCCCAACAACCCACACACCAAAAAAGTTATGAGAAAAAGTTGCCCTAGTGTTTCCAGTGCAGAGAAGAACATTCAAGATGGCCACCGGCAAGAGGAAAACCAAACAGCTTGATTTTGCTGGATTCAATGAAGAAAGCATTGATATTAGCAGTCTACACAACAAGTTGTTAAAATTAGATACTATAGTGAACTCTCATGTAGAAATAATTAGTAAATTAAAAGAAAGTAATGACCATTTGAATAGCAAAGTTTTGTCTTGAGGGTTTAGTGAAAGACTTGTGCAAGGATAAGAATCAATTGGAAACAAATTGTAAAGCCATGGAAGTAGAAAATAAATTCTTAAAAATAGCTTTGGAAGAAGTTAAAGTAAATTTAAACATAAATGACTACAATAGGTTAGGTAAGGAAATTCAACAGGAGAAACAGCTTTTGTCAGCACAGATTGAGGAAGTTACAAAGGGAATAGAACAGTGCAAGAGGGATATGCAACTCACCTATGCACAAGTGGCCAAGGAGAAGGAAAAATTAAAGAAGCAGTAAAGGAAGCCAAACACTGCAGCAACCAAGATAAAACAAACATTAGGCTGGAAGTGAGAAAGGAATTGGCATCTAATCCGAAGTTGGTGCAAAACTCAGTTGATCGGAGTAAGTCCCTGATAATTTTTGGTTGCAAAGAAAAAGAGATAACGTCTAGGTCAGAAAGAGCTGTAGAAGAAGCAAAAGTAGTAGATAAAATTGTTGGCCTTGTAGAAGGTCTTACTACCATAGAGAATGTGTGCGACTACAGGAGAATAGGCAGATACGTAAAAGGGAAAGATCGACCTTTGAGGATCACCCTAAATGGTGCCAAACAGATGGAAGAAGTACTCAGGAATGGTAGAAAATTACAAAGTGATGAGGATGGGAAAGTGTGGTCGTTAAGACGAGATCTTTTAAAAGAAGACAGAGAAGCTGAAATGGAACCTCGCCGAGGCAAAACGTTTAAAAGAGAGCAGGAATGAAGAAGAAATCAATTCTTTTTTCTACAGTGTTAGGGGTAGGCAGACCAGTAAAGTGGTACATAAAGGCAAACCAACAAAATCAATAGAGAGAGGGGGAGTGAAGAATAAGGAGAGGGGGAACAAGTTCCTGAAGATTGCATACACCAACATAGATGAAGTGAGATCGAAAATACTGGAGTTAAGTGATGTAATACAGCTGCAGACACCAGACATTGTTGCACTCACGGAGACAAAACTTGAAGATGTTATTTTAAATTAGGTCATATTCCCAAGGGGCTACTCAATTTGGAGACGGGACAGAAAAATTAGGAAAGGCGGTGGTGTTGCTGTGCTGGTGAAAGAACACCTAAAGGTGAAGGAAATGATGACTGCCAATGCACAAGAAGGTGACATAATAGCACTAGAGATCTGCCATGAAGATGATAAACTAATGATCATAAATGCATATAGTCCACTGCCAAGCAGCACATGGGCAAAGGAGGAGCTAGATAGTAAATGAGAAGTTCTTATAACAATAATGAAAGAGATTATAGTGAGAGCGGATAACGCTAGATCACGACTGTTGATAGTCGGTGACCTCAACTTTAAATCAGACTGGGAAGCATATGAAGCTAAAACAGAAGATTTTTGGACCTGTAGATTTGTAGACCTCATCCTGGAAACATTCTTGTATCAACATGTTAAACAAGCTACCTGTACGAGGATGAGAGAATCTTGAGGTTATCTTGAGATGATTTCGGGGCTTTTAGTGTCCCCGCGGCCCGGTCCTCGACCAGGCCTCCACCCCCAGGAAGCAGCCCGTGACAGCTGACTAACACCCAGGTACCTATTTTACTGCTAGGTAACAGGGGCATAGGGTGAAAGAAACTCTGCTCATTGTTTCTCGCCAGTGCCTGGGATTGAACTTAGGACCACAGGATCACAAGTCCCGCATGCTGTCCGCTCGGCCGACCGGCTCCCTGTTTGGGGACGTTCCCTCAATGCTAGATTTGATATTTACCAGGAAGGAGGAAGAGATATTTGACATTCAGTACCGTCCTCCCTTGGGTAAAAGTGACCATGTCTTTTTGTGAATAAAGTATGCAATGCATTATAATCTGGAAGAAAATAAGGAGGTTGAAGCAGTTGAAAAACCTGACTTCAGGAGAGGACATTATGGCGACCTTAGAAATTTTTTTAGTGAGTATAATTGGACAGACTTGTTGCTAGGCAAGGAAGTGAATGAGATGTATGTCAAGGTTTGTGAAATATATGATAAAGGCACAAAAAAATTTATACCAAAACAAAGATGCAGAATGAAATAAGATTTGTTCAATAGATATTGCGAGAGGGCCAGAGACCAAAAGACACAAAAATGGAATCAATACAGGAAGAGGCCAAACCCCCAAACATACCGGCGATACAAAGATGCGAGAAACAACTACACGGCAGTGAGGAGAGAGGCAGAAAAAAATTTTGAAAAAGGGATTGCAGACAAATGTAAAACAGAACCAGGTCTATTCTATAAATTAATAAACAAATAATTGCAGGTAAAGGATAATATTCAGAGGTTGAAAATGGGAAATAGATTCATGGAAAATGAAAAGGAAATGTGTGAAACACTAAACGAAAAGTTCCAAAGTGTGTTTGTACAAAATGAAATCTTTAGGGAACCAGACACAATAAGAATTCCAGAGAACAACATAGAGCACATAGAGGTGTCTAGAGACAAAGTGGAAAAAATGCTCAAGGAGCTAAGTAAGAACAAAGCAGTTGGTCCAGATGGAGTTTCACCATGGGTTCTGAGAGAATGTGCACCTGAGCTCAGCACTCCACTTCAACTGATTTTTCAGGCATCCCTGTTTACAGGAGTTGTAGCTGATGTGTGGAAAAAGGCTAACATAGTTCCAATCTACAAAAGTGGAAGCAGGGAAGACCCCCCTTAATTATAGACCTGTATCATTGACAAGTGTAATAGTCAAAATATTGGAAATACTGTAATAATTAAAACTAAATGGGTAGAACACCTGGAGGAAAACAATATAATATCAGACAGACAGTATGGTTTTCGATCTGGAAGATCCTGTGTAATGAACTTATTCAGTTTTTATGATCGAGCCACAGAGATTTTACAGGAAAGAGATGGTTGGGTTGACTGCATCTATCTGGATCTAAAAAAGGCTTTTGACAGAGTTCCCCATAAGAGGTTGTTCTGCAAACTGGAGCATATTGGAGGGGTGACAGGTAAGCTACTAACATGGCTGAAAAATTTCCTAACTGACAGAAAAATAAGGGTCGTAATCAGAGGCACGGTATCGAATTGGAGGAATGTCACGAGTGGAGTACCACAGGGATCAGTTCTTGCACCGGTAATGTTCATTGTCTACATAAATAATCTACCAGTGGGAATACAGAATTACATGAACATGTTTGCTGATGATGCTAAGATAATAGGGAAGATAAGAAACCTAGATGATTGTCATGCCCTTCAAGAAGACCTGGACAAAATAAGTATATGGAGCAACACTTGGCAAATGGAATTTAATGTGAATAAATGCCATGTTATGGAATGTGGCATTGGAGAACAGACCCCACACAACTTATAAATTATGTGAGAAATCTTTAAAGAATTCTGACAAAGAAAGGCATCTAGGGGTGGTTCTAGATAGAAAACTGTCACCTGAGGACCACATTAAGAACATTGTGCGAGGAGCCTATGCTACACTTTCTAACCTCAGAATTGCTTTTAAATACATGGATGGAGAAATATTAAAAAAATTGTTCACAACTTTTATTAGACCAAAGTTGGAATATGCAGTCGTTGTATGGTGCCCATATCTTAAGAATGGGCACCATATCTTTTCCAGAAGAAATGGAAAAGGTGCAACGACATGCCACTAAGTGGCTCCCAGAACTGAAGGAAAAGAGCTATGAGGAGAGGTTAGAGGCATTAAATATGCAAAAGCTAGAAGATAGAAGAAAAAGAGGCGATATGATCACTACGTTCAAAATAGTAACAGGAATCAATAAAATTGATAGGGAAGAATTCCTGAGACCCGGAACTTCAAGAACGAGAGGTCATAGATTTAAACTAACGAAACAAAGCTGCCGGAGAAATATACGAAAATTCACTTTTGTAAACAGAGTAGTAGACGGTTGGAACAAGTTAAGTGAGAAGGTGGTGGAGGCCAAAACTGTCTGTAATTTCAAAGCATTTTATGACAAAGAGTGCTGGGGAGACAGGACACCACAGGTGGCTCT